CCAGTGATACTAGTGTTACAACTACCAGTGATACTAGTGTTACAACCACCAGTGATACTAGTGTTACAACCACCAGTGATACTAGTGTTACAACCACCAGTGATACTAGTGTTACAACCACTAGTGATACTAGTGTTACAACCACCAGTGATACTAGTGTTACAACCACCAGTGATACTAGTGTTACAACCACCAGTGATACTAGTGTTACAACCACCAGCGATACTAGTGTTACAGCCACCAGTGATACTAGTGTTACAATTACCAGTGATACTAGTGTTACAACCACCAGTGATACTAGTGTTACAACCACCAGTGATGCTAGTGTTACAACCACCAGTGATACTAGTGTTACAACCACCAGTGATAATAGTGTTACAACCACCAGTGATACTAGTGTTACAACCACCAGTGATACTAGTGTTACAACCACCAGTGATACTAGTGTTACAACCACTACTGATACTAGTGTTACAACCACCAGTGATACTAGTGTTACAACCGCCAGTGATACTAGTGTTACAACCACCAGTGATAATAGTGTTACAACCACCAGTGATACTAGTGTTACAACCACCAGTGATACTAGTGTTACAACCACCAGTGATACTAGTGTTACAACCACCAGTGATACTAGTGTTACAACCACCAGTGATACTAGTGTTACAACCACCAGTGATACTAGTGTTACAACCACCAGTGGTACTAGTGTTACAGCCACCAGTGATACTAGTGTTACAACCACCAGTGGTACTAGTGTTACAACCACCAGTGATACTAGTGTTACAACTACCAGTGATACTAGTGTTACAACCACCAGTGGTACTAGTGTTACAACCACCAGTGATACTAGTGTTACAACCACCAGTGGTACTAGTGTTACAACCACCAGTGATAGTGTTACAACCACCAGTGGTACTAGTGTTACAACCACCAGTGATACTAGTGTTAAAACCACCAGTGATATTAGTGTTACAACCACCAGTGATACTAGTGTTACAACCACCAGTGATACTAGTGTTACAACCACCAGTGATAGTGTTACAACCACCAGTGGTACTAGTGTTACAACCACCAGTGATACTAGTGTTACAACCACCAGTGGTACTAGTGTTACAACCACCAGTGATAGTGTTACAACCACCAGTGATACAAGTGTTACAGGAGAATAACTTATATAACATTTTAATTATATATTGGTTTTAGAGGCATGTCGAAGCGCTAAACCCGTTGGGGTCATGCGGGCCTGAGGGGAATGGGAGGTAATGAGGTGTGATCCATGGAGGCGGAGAGTAACTCGTTCCTTGCATTAAGAGCATTTCACCAGTATTAACACTGTTTGAAGGAGTGTACTTCTTGGTGTACATGTACTTCTTGGTGTACATGTACTTCTTGGTGTACATGCACTTCTTGGTGTACATGTACTTCTTGGTGTACATGTACTTCTTGGTGTACATGTACTTCTTGGTGTAGATGTACTTCTTGGTGTACATGCACTTCTTGGTGTACATGTACTTCTTGGTGTACATGTACTTCTTGGTGTACATGTACTTCTTGGTGTACATGCACTTCTTGGTGTACATGTACTTCTTGGTGTACATGCACTTCTTGGCGTACATGTACTTCTTGGTGTACATGCACTTCTTGGTGTACATGTACTTCTTGGTGTACATGCATTTCTTGGTGTACATGTATTCTTGGTGTACATGTACTTCTTGGTGTACATGTACTTCTTGGTGTACAAGTACTTCTTGGTGTAGATGTACTTCTTGGTGTACATGTACTTCTTGGTGTACAAGTACTTCTTGGTGTAGATGTACTTCTTGGTGTACATGTACTTCTTGGTGTACAAGTACTTCTTGGTGTAGATGTACTTCTTGGTGTAGATGTACTTCTTGGTGCACATATACTTCTTGGTGTACAAGTACTTCTTGGTGTAGATGTACTTCTTGGTGTAGATTTACTTCTTGGTGTACATGTACTTCTTGGCGCACATGTACTTCTTGGTGTACATGTACTTCTTGGTGTACATGTACTTCTTGGTGTAGATGTACTTCTTGGTGTACATGTACTTCTTGGTGCACATGTACTTGGTGTACATGTACTTCTTGGTGTACATGTACTCTTGGTGTAATATGTACTTCTTGGTTAGTACATTGTTACTTACTCTGGTGTACATGTACTTCTTGGTGTACATGTATTCTGGTGTACGATGTACTTCTTGGTGTACATGTACTCTTGGTGTACATGTGACTTCTTGGTGTGCATGTACGTTACTGGTGACATGTACTCATTGTGTACGATGTACTTGGTGTGTCTATTTGTGTACTGTACTCTGTGTACTATTGTGTACTGTACTCTGGTGGTACTTGTGTACTTACTTGGTGTGCATGTACTTTGTGTACGATGTACTCTTGGTGTTACTTGTGTACTGTACTCTGGTGTTTCTATTGTACTGTACTTTGTGTAATTACTTTGGTGTGTTCTTATTTGTACGTGTACTCTTGGCGATGTTGTACAGTACTTCTTGGTGTCTGTGTACTGTTTTTGTGACTAGTGTACGTACTGGTGTGTTCTATGTGTACTTACTCTGGTGTGAGTGTTCTCTTGTGTATGTACTCTGGTGTTTCTATGTGTACTGTACTCTGGTGTGTCTATTGTGACGTGTACTCTGGTGTGTATTGTGTACTTACTCTGGTGTACGTGTACTCTGGTGTGTTCTATTGTGTACGTGTACTCTGGTGTGTCTATTGTGTACGTGTACTCTGGTGTGTTCTATTGTGTACGTGTACTCTGGTGTGTTCTATTTGTGCTGTGTACGTGTACTCTGGTGGTTGTATTGTGTACGTGTACTCTGGTGTTGTTCTATTGTGTACGTGTACTCTGGTGTGTGTTCTATTGTGTACGTGTACTCTGGTGTGTTCTATTGTGTACGTGTACTCTGGTGTGTTCTATTGTGTACGTGTACTCTGGTGTGTTCTATTGTGTACGTGTACTCTGGTGTGTTCTATTGTGTACGTGTACTCTGGTGTGTTTCTATTGTGTACGTGTACTCTGGTGTGTTCTATTGTGTACGTGTACTCTGGTGTGTTCTATTGTGTACGTGTACTCTGGTGTGTTCTATTGTGTACGTGTACTCTGGTGTGTTCTATTGTGTACGTGTACTCTGGTGTGTTCTATTGTGTACGTGTACTCTGGTGTGTTCTATTGTGTACGTGTACTCTGGTGTGTTCTATTGTGTACGTGTACTCTGGTGTGTTCTATTGTGTACGTGTACTCTGGTGTGTTCTATTGTGTACGTGTACTCTGGTGTGTTCTATTGTGTACGTGTACTCTGGTGTGTTCTATTGTGTACGTGTACTCTGGTGTGTTCTATTGTGTACGTGTACTCTGGTGTTTTCTATTGTGTACGTGTACTCTGGTGTGTTCTATTGTGTACGTGTACTCTGGTGTGTTCTATTGTGTACGTGTACTCTGGTGTGTTCTATTGTGTACGTGTACTCTGGTGTGTTCTATTGTGTACGTGTACTCTGGTGTGTTCTATTGTGTACGTGTACTCTGGTGTGTTCTATTGTGTACGTGTACTCTGGTGTGTTCTATTGTGTACGTGTACTCTGGTGTGTTCTATTGTGTACGTGTACTCTGGTGTGTTCTATTGTGTGTACTCTGTGTTTATTGTAGGCTGTGTTCTATTGTGTACGTGTACTCTGGTGTTTCTATGTGTACGTGTACTCTGGTGTGTTCTATTGTGTACGTGTACTCTGGTGTGTTCTATTGTGTACGTGTACTCTGGTGTGTTCTATTGTGTACGTGTACTCTGGTGTGTTCTATTGTGTACGTGTACTCTGGTGTGTTCTATTGTGTACGTGTACTCTGGTGTGTTCTATTGTGTACGTGTACTCTGGTGTGTTCTATTGTGTACGTGTACTCTGGTGTGTTCTATTGTGTACGTGTACTCTGGTGTGTTCTATTGTGTACGTGTACTCTGGTGTGTTCTATTGTGTACGTGTACTCTGGTGTGTTCTATTGTGTACGTGTACTCTGGTGTGTTCTATTGTGTACAAGTCTGGTGTACGTGTACTCTGGCGTAAGTGTAATCTTTAGTGTACGTTTAGTGTGCGTGTGCTTTGGTTTGTGTACACTGGTATATATACTTGTACTTTGATATACATGCACTCTGGTGTTGTACTCTGGTGCTAGTGTATTCCGGTGTTGGTGTTTATGTGCTGGTGTTTGTTTGTGTACTCTGGTTGGTATACTCTGGTGTCATACTCTGGTGTTGTACTCTGTGTTGGTGTACTCTGGTGTTGGTGTACTCTGGTGTTGGTGTACTCTGGAGGTTCCTTGTGTGGTGTACTCTGATTTGTGATCTGGTGTTGTGACTCTGGTGTTGTTTGGTTTGTTACTCTGGTGTTGGTGTACTCTGGTGTTGGTGTACTCTGGTGTTGGTGTACTCTGGTGTTGGTGTACTCTGGTGTTGGTGTACTCTGGTGTTGGTGTTCTCTGTGTTCGTATACTCTGGTCAGAGAGAGGGGTATCTTCGGTTATAATAAGATTGGGTGGTATCTTTTTGTCATTCACTGGGGATAACTGGCCCAGTAACACAGCGTCCACCCAGTACACGCGGCAGGAGTCCACCCAGAGGTATGCAGTAGTGATTTACTGCAAAATGAATACAAGAGAAAGTGTGATCTTGGTGGCAACCATGTCCACCTCCCCCGCTGCCTGGATCGTTACTGGCTCTTCCTCGCGCCGCTCTTACCCACCCCTCCAACCGGCTACTGTTTTATCGACATTCGTATTAGTTGGTTTTGATTGTTAAATATGGGGATTACTGGTTTGTAAATTGATGCGGGTTGATCCGCAGCGGTGATCGGGGAAGGAGGAGGGGATAGAATGGCGGGCGGTATGCGGGTGGTATGTGAAAATCAGCAAGGTGGAGCGAGTGTGTGCGGGGAGGGGGAGGTGCGGCTGGAAGAGCTACAGGCTAGGGAGTAGTATGGTAGCCAGTGTGGAGGTGGGGGAGCACTGGTGAACTGTGCACCACCTCAAACTTCTCAATACAATATAAACACTCAGGTTAGGATTAATGTCAGGATGCAGCCACCTCCAAGAAAGGTAAGTCTAGGCCTGGAGGCTCTCTCAGCCCTCCTCCGCTCTCCTTTCTCGGGTTATGACTCAATTATTCTTTTTTTCTGGTTGGGCGAAGATAAATGAGCTGGAATTGTGTGGTTGAACATTAAACATCGTATGAAGCAGCACACAGTAGCACTCATAAAGGCAGAGTTTTGAGGCCTCTGACACTTCTGGGGTTGACTCAAAATTATTTATTTTTGACTAGGCAAAGATGAAAGACCTAAAATTGTTGAAATTAATTCAAGAACTAAACTTCACATGAAACAACATAACCCACGACGACTGATTGTGGGAGCACCGTGGGTGATGTGATTGTGGGAGATGAGCACCGTGGGTGTTGAGTGTGGGAGATGAGCACCGTGGGTGTTGAGTGTGGGCGATGAGCACCGTGGGTGTTGAGTGTGGGAGATGAGCACCGTGGGTGTTGAGTGTGGGCGATGAGCACCGTGGGTGTTGAGTGTGGGCGATGAGCACCGTGGGTGTTGAGTGTGGGTGATGAGCACCGTGGGTGTTTGCGGGCATCAGGTGAGAAGTCTTGCCCACCGTGAGGTAGATGTACACATCTCAGCTACGTAGGCGCGGGAGACGTATCCCACAGCAGCCTGCAACACTACACTCAGTGTAGTGTTGCAGGCAACTGCACGTCAACACCCTGCATCTTGCAGTGTTACAGGCTCTGTAACCCTCACTCTGGCTCTATAACCTTCACTAGCTCTTAATCGTTCATGATATAGTTGATGAATTATAAAATAATAGTATCCTGTGTGTCTTTGTCTAGCATTAGAAATACAAGAACCTCAATGGAAATAAGTCAATGACTCTTTTCGGGTTATCGCAGGTAATTTACATTATGATAATTTTAATTATGTGTACCTGTCCCTAAATAAACTTACTATTATGAGAAAAGTAAATAATGAATCTGAATGTTATAGGAATGCTGTTAGAAGCCTGAGTAAATTTATAACCCACTATAACATGAACGTTGAGAAGTACGTTCTGGAGCAACTTGCAGTATAAACTGACTGATGTTTACGATTTGGTTACAAGTACTTCTGGTAGGTTGGCAGATACATAGATCGAACTAAATGCAAAATATGTGATCAGCCATATGGTCACTTTTTTTAACACCTTTGTGTTTAATTTCCACTTTTCGAAGATTATAGTGATAGTATAATAACCTGTATGTCAAGATATGTTATTAATGAAAATAAGATAGTCATAGTATTTAGAAAATTTCTTAAATTTTCTTGCAGCACATAATGAACTGTAAATATAAATCCTCATATACTCCTGTAAACCCATTTATGGCCTAGTTCCTAGGCCTTTCATGTATCCATATGCTTCTGCGCTATCCTCCACAGGATAGATAAGGGCTGAACAATAAACTAGCCGCTTCGGCGGCAAACTCGAATCTTTGGCTCTGAGCCCTCACTCTGGCTCTGTATCCTTTACTTTGGCTCTACAAATCACTCTGGCAATATAACTCACTCTGGCTATATAACCTCACCCTGGGCAATATAACTCACTCTGGCTATATAACCTCACCCTGGTTCTATAATCCTCACTCAGGCCCAGTAACACTTAAATGAAGGGTTGCTACATGTTGGTGAAGTGCTCTTGATCCAAGAAATTATACCTCCAGTTCCTTGGATCAAGAATTACTACCTCCCATTTTCCTAAGCATTGTATGATTCCCCATCGGGTTTAGCGCTTTTCTCTAATTTACTCCTTCAAGGAGGTGTCTTAAGCGAAGGGATCTTTATTCAAATAATTAGAGCTACTCTTCCCTTGGATCAAACCCGATTACCTCCCATTCCCCAGGCGCTATATGACTCATGCGGATTTAGCGCTTCCTTGTGAATATAATAATCCTTAAAAGATATGTTAATTATCACGGCTTGAAGTTGTCACGTGTCTAATTAATATTAATATTGACGATTTAGAAAATATTTCTTCAGCACCTGGAACGAGCTAGTTCGGTCTTTATTGTACCAGGAATGGGACAATTTGGTCTTTACCAGGAATGGGACAATTTAGTCGTTACTGAATCAGGAATGGGACAATTTGATCTTTACTGTACCAGGAGTGGGACAGTTTGGTCTACTGTACCAGGAGTGGAACAATTTGGTCTTTACCATACCAGGAATGGGACAATTTAGTCTTGACCAGGAATGGGTAATTTGGTCTTTACTGTACCAAGAATGGAACAGTTTGGTCTTTACGAGGAATGGGACAGTTTTGTCTTTATTGTACCAGGAATGAGACAGTTTGGTCTTGACCAGGAGTAATAATAAAAATATTTATTTCTACAAGTACTTGTAAAATGTACATGTAAAATGACATACAGAAAGTCCCTGGTTATGCAGAGCATTTTGGGCAAATTAGGTCAGTTTTGTTCCTAGGATACGACCCACACCAGTCGACTAACACCCAGGTACCTATTTTACTGCTAGGTGAACAGGGATAGCAGGTGTCTTAGGGAAACACGTCCTAATGGAACAGTTTGGTCTTAGCTGTACCAGAAATGAGACAGTTTGGTCATTACTGTACCAGGAGTGGGACAGTTTGGCTTTTACTGTACCAGGGATGGGACAGTTTAGTCTTTACCAGGAAGGAAACAGTTTGGTCTTCAATGTACCAGGAAGCGGACAGTTTAGTCTTCAGTGTACCAGGAAGCAGACAGTTTGGTCTTCATTGCACCAGTATGGACACAGTTTGGTGTTCGGTGTACCAGGATGGAGACAATTTGGTCTTCAGTGTACCAGGAAGTGGACAGTTTGGTCTTCAGTGTACCAGAAAGCAGACAATTTGGTCTTCAGTGTACCAGGAAGCGGACAGTTTGGTCTTCAGTGTACCAGGAAGCAGACAGTTTGGTCTTCATTGTACCAAGGAAAGTGGCATACAGTTGGTTTGTCTTCATGTACCGGAAGCAGACAGTTTGCATTACAAAGCATACAGTTTGTTTCAGTGTACCGAAGCAGACTGAGTACTTTTTGTACGACCCGGAACAAAAATAAATAATTCTGAGCTACACCGACACACTCCCCAGTTTCTTTCAGTTATTTTCCATGAATAATATTGAATTCTTGCAGTCGGAGGTGTGGTAGAGGGGGTGGCAGGGTGGTGGCCTGTTTGGCAGGGTAGTGTATGGGGTGGCAAGTTGGTGGGTGGCGGGATAGAAGAAATGCATGCTGCAGGATAGAAAGGAGGGGGTGGAAAAATAGAAAAGTGGCAAGTGGGAGGGATGCTGGATAGAAAGATGATAAGAATGCTGGGTAGCAGGATAGAAGGGTGATAAAGATGCAGGATAGAAGGGTGATAGGAATGCTGGGTAGCAGGATAGAAGGGTGGTAAGGTTGCTGGGTGGCAACATAGAAGGGTGGTAAGGTTGCTGGATGGCAGGATAGAAGAGCGGTAGAGATGTGGGTGGCAGGATAGAAGAGTGGTAAAGATGGTGGATGGCAGGATAGAAGGGTGATAGGGTTGCTGGGTGGCAAGATAGAAGGGTGGTAGAGATGCTGGGTGGCAGAATAGAAGGGTGATGGGGTTGCTGGATGGCAGGATAGAAGGGTGGTAGGGTTGCTGGGTGGCAGGATAGAAGGATGGTAGAGATGCTGGGTGGCAGGATAGAAGGGTGGTAGAGATGCTGGGTGGCAGGATAGAGGGTGGTAGAGATGCTGGGTGGCAGGTAGAAGGGTGATAGGGTTGCTGGGTGGCAGGATAGAAGGTGATAGGGTTGCTGGGTGGCAGGATAGAAGGGTAGTAGGGTTGCTGGGTGGCAGGATAGAAGGGTGATAGGGTTGCTGGGTGGCAGGATAAAAGGGTGGTAAGGTTGCTGGGTGGCAGGATAGAAGGGTAGTAGGGTTGCTGGGTGGCAGGATAGGAGGGTGATAGGGTTGCTGGGTGGCAGGATAAAAGGGTGGTAAGGTTGCTGGGTGGCAGGATAGAAGGGTAGTAGGGTTGCTGGGTGGCAGGATAGAAGGGTGATAGGGTTGCTGGGTGGCAGGATAAAAGGGTGGTAAGGTTGCTGGGTGGCAGGATAGAAGGGTAGTAGAGATGCTGGGTGGCAAGATAGAAGGGTGGTAGAGATGTTGGGTGGCAGGATAGCAGGGTGGAAGAGATGAGAGAGAGAGTGAACTCTTTCCCTTTAATAAACACAAAACATTAAAAAGTCGAGGGAAAAGTATTAGTCAATGTGTGGAGTGATGCGGCAACTGAACTTTGTGAAGGGCTTGAGAGAGTGGGTAGAGGGGGTGGAAGAGCATGGGTTGGGGATGACCACATGATGGGGTGCGTATGGGCTAGAGACATGGGGGAATATAGGGGGAAGGAGTTTTCCCATACTTTGTACTTTGCCATCCATTATGTGAGCAGATCAATAGTGCGTCTTGAGTCCTCGTGTGACCACACACTGGTAGTGACCACACTACTTCAAGCTTTTATTGGTCGCACTTCTACAGTTTTTTTTTTTTTTGAGTGGTGTCGTTGGTGTACTGCTGGTGAGGGCACACCTCTAAAACTATAGTAGTGGCTTCACGCTCTAGTCCTTTAATGTTCACTAAAAACACAAGGGAGATAAACGTGTTTGAAAAAAAATTGTGGTGGTATTGGAGCTACCGCTGCTGCTGTTGCTATTGCTTTCGCTTCTGCTACTTCTGCTGGAATGGTGGTGGTGGTTATTCTGCTGGTGCTCTTGCTGTAACTATTGGTGTTGTTGTAGATATACATGATTATCAAATCATGTGCTAACAAGCAAACGACCTCAGTGGATGATCTTAAATTTTGCTTTATGATTCTTAAAGATTGTAGGTCACACTACGAAATCCAGCCACGTTTCGTGGGTGGAAGACAAAGGTCAAGTGACGGGAAGTACGACAGTGAAAAAGCTGTCACGATTGTATTGAGGAATAATTTTCTTTTATAATATACTGAGAAAGGTAAGGATGGAATAAGCTGGTACTAATAGTCACGTTAGGAAGACG